GGGCCTGGGTGGTGGGGAGCGAGGTTTTTACCGCTCACGTCCCAGTCTCCAACAACAGGCAAACTCCCCCCATGCGCTTTTGCCGGGCGGCGTCTTCTGCAACAGAGGTTCCAAACCAGCTCCGCACAGGCCTCTCTCTCTCCCGGGGACCCGCAGCCCACTCTGCCTTCTAAATCCTCTCTCCAGAGATAGGGACTGGAGGACTTGCTCCAAGCGCGCCCTTCACCTCCTCTTTCCCAGGCTCCTTCTGATAATGGCTTTTCCCTGCAAGGTCTCCAGAAACAGAGCAAATGAAAATGTTGGAGGAAAAGTACTGGTTCTGTCCCTCCTTCTCCTCAGTCATGTTGGAAAAATAATCAGAAAATTTCAAATAACCAGGAAATCTGCTGAGAAATGAGGACCCAGAAGGGAACAGCCAACCCAAGAACTGGCTTTTCTTTTTTCAATAGGAGCCCAGTCCCTCCATTAGATATGAATGTAGCTTCTGTGTGGCTGTCCGTGAAACATATATTTCCCAACCAGGCAGCAAGGGATGTGAATTTTCACTGGGCCCTAGGGACACCGAGAGGCTGCAGGTCAGAAGAGGGTCTTTTCAGACGGTGTCCAAACAGAACGAAATTATAACATGAAAGGCAGAGCTCTTGATTCAGATCTTTCCTGTTTAAATAAGGGGTGAGGGTAAGAAGCACTGGTGAAATATCCAAATAATTGCAAATATTTGTAAACAAATTCTTCTCACTGGGTCTCTATTTGTGTTGGTGGGTGTGACACGCAGAATCAGGGGTCCACTAGCTGTTTCCTGATAACCCCTCCCCCTCCTTTGAACTTCCCAGATGGCACTAGTGGTAAACAACCCACCTACCAATGCTGAAGACATGAGACATGGGTTCAGTACCTGGGTTGGGAAGATCCCATGGAGGAAGGCATGGCAACCCACTGCAATATTCTTGCCTAGAGAATCCCATGGACAGAGAAGCCTGGCAGGCTGTAGTCCACAGGGTCTCAGAGAGTCAAACACGACTGAAGTGACTTAGCACACACGCACGCTGTGCTAAGAAACAGAAAGAACTCAAGTCCGGTTTAGAGTGTGAGAGCTCTGCCAGTGGAAGGCCTGTGGGAACTGACAGGGGAGAGCTTGGAGTGAAGAGTGGAAGGGCAGAGGGGAAGAGAAGTGCAGCAGACACTGAGTCAGAGGCCCTGAGACAAAGTCCTGGCTCTGTGTCTTTAATGTCTCCTTGCCTCAGTTTTCTCATCTGCAAGATGGGGATAATACTGATCTATAAGCCTGCTGTGAAGAATAAAAAAAGTAATACATGGGAACATGCTTGATCATCATTGAACATATGTTCCTTGGCCTGTGCCTAATTCAAAGGGGATCATGGCAAGAATAGCAAGGGTCCAGGTTTTGCCCCAACCCAGGGATGGGTATGAGTGTCCCTGTGGCTATTTGATGCCCTGACCCCTGGGCTCAGCTGGCTCCGTCTCACCGTCTACCAGATCCAAGGGAAAGTGAGAGTCCATCTCAGCAGGCTGCCCCAGCCCCTGTTTACTTTGGCCATGTTGTGATGGCCCTGCTGGGTTTGCCAACAGGATTTGGGTGTTTGCTCTCCTGCCTGGCATGACTGCAGAGGCAGCTGGCACTCTGCTCCTGATTGTCATGCTGACCAATGTTGCTCACAGCAAGGGGATGCTGACTCCCTGCTGCTCCCCCCACCTCAGATGGATGGAGTCTCTTTTTATTATCATTCCTAAGACTCCTAGGCTCAGGAAAGCAGGGTGGTAGAGAGATACCACAGTCTCCCTTTCAAATGGCTGCCCAAAGAGTATGTACTCAAGAATTAAAAGGAACCAGGAAATAGCAAAAGAAATCATAGAGATGAAGATACCAAGCACAAAATCTAAATTTAAAAAAAATTAAGTCCTAGGTTTTGCTTTTTTTCCTCATGCTTTTTCAGAACAGTAGATGTTCAGGAGTAAAAAGAAAGAGGCTTACTGAGGCCACCCCAGACCAGTCATGGCCCATGGTTCAGGAAAGTCATGGCAGAAGCATGATTCGCAGGTGCACGGTGGGGAAAACACACGCTCAGAACGATCCCTTCCCACCTCAGGGCAGCTCCTGGAGCCTCTCACCACCTCCCCGGCACATGGTGTGCTCTCAGGAGACGTGGAATATCCTCCACAGGACACATTGCCGATTGGCTTTCCTAGGCTGCCAGTTAATAACTTAGAGTCATGCCTGGAGAATGGAAAATAATTGAAAGCAATGCTTAGTAAATTGCAGTTTCAAGGTCTTCATTGCCTTTCTGACAATTTGCAAAACCCATTTTATTGCTTTTTTAGATTCCTTGAGTTGAAATGCCACTGTGTGCTGTAATTAAGCTAAGTGACACGCCAGCTGTAAAGACAAGGCTTGTGAATGATTACATTTGGCTCATGTAATCATCCAGCATGGGTGGGGGAGGACACTTGGAACAGCTGCCAGTCTGCCTGCCCCACACTCCCTGCCAGGGTGGAGGGAAAACTGGACTGATTCTGAAATGGCCCTTTTAAGGCTAGGGAGAGCTAGCTTGCCTGTTTGAGGTGGCCACGGCTGTCCAGTGGGATGAGTCAGATGAGTGGCTCCCGAACTTCACTATGTATCAGGACCCTCTGAGGAAGATTTCTAAATCCAGGTCAATAACCCCCTACCCCAGCCAGATTGACTAATTTCGTCTGAGGGAGTGGAGGCACCAGATAGTTTTTTTAAGCTGCCCAGATAGTTTTGAGCCTAGAGAACCCGCCTGATCCAACATGGCTGCATTTAACAGCTTTGTCTTCAGGAAATAATTTTTGTATTTGGAAATGTGTCCTTCAGTGCTGCTCTTTTGAATCCATCTGGAGACAGGAACTCATCTATCTGCTTTATGAAACAAATACCCTGATCTCCATCCCCCAGAGCTCCAAAGTTCCTATCTTCTTTCACGGGACTCAGTTCTTTTTTTTTTTTTTTTTCCATTTATTAGTTGGAGGCTAATTAATTTACAGTATTGTAGTGGGTTTTGTCATACATTGACATGAATCAGCCATGGAGTTACATGTATTCCCCATCCCGATCCCCCCTCCCACCTCCCTCTCTACCCAATCCCTCTGAGTCTTCCCAGTGCACCAGGCCCGAGCACCTGTCTCATGCATCCAACCTGGGCTGGTGATCTGTTTCACTATAGATAATATACATGTTTTGATGCTGTTCTCTCGAAACATCCCAGGACTCAGTTCTTTTGAGGCCATCTTTCTTGTTCCCTTTCCTTTTCCCCCTCCATTCATTCAGCTGCTGTGTCCCAGCTCTACAATGTTTGTCTCCCTTTCTTTCCCACAGTCAGCCATCCTGATAGGGGCTGCAAGCGCTTGAAACTTGGATCATTGTATGAGCCTCCTAACCTCTCTTCCAGCTTCGTTCTCTCCCCCTTGCTAGTCATCCATTCTACCATCTACGATGAGACTCACCTTTCTAACACTAAATAAAACCTATCCCATTCAAAAACCTTTAGTGGTTTCCTACTGCCCATTAAATTAGGTTAACATTTCCCAGGAAAACATTTTAGACTCTCCACTACATCCATTCATTTGGCAAGTATTTACTGAATCACAGTTAGGTCCTAAGCACCAGGCTGAAACCAAGGGATACAAAGAAGTACAGACATGGTACAGTCCAGTGGAGAGACAGCCACAAACAAGTTCACCATCATGAAGTGTACAATAATGAAACAAAGAACAGCTGGGTCTCCAAGGCCCTCTTTTAAACTATCTTTCCAATGTCATCTCCCAGTTATCCTTTCTGATCCAGCCAAATTGGACTGGACTTTACTTCTTGATCATGTCCCGGGTTGTTTATATTTTCTTCCAGAACTTTATTGCTCAGTCCCATACCTCATATTCACTTTTAAAAACCCTGTTTATATGGAGAAGATATTTGTAAATGACATAAAATGACAGTAAAGGGTTAACATCTAAAATATATAAAGAACTCACAAAACTCAATAGTGATTTTTTAAAAAAGCCAAACAATCCAATAAAAAATGAGAAGGCCTGAACAGACATTTTTTAAAAAAAAAAGACATATAGCTGGTCAACACGTGAAAAGATGCTCAACATAACTAATTATCAGGGAGTAACAGGCAACAAGTGTTGGTGAGGATGTGGAGAAAAGGGAATCCTCATGTACTGTTGGTGGGAATGCAAATTGGTACGGCTACTATGGAAAATAGTATAGAGGGTCCTCAAAAAATTAAAAATAGAACTAACCAAATGATCCAGAAATTCTACTTTTGGGTATTTAGCCAAAGAAAATCAAAACACAAATTAGGAAAGGTATATGCATCCCTATGTTCATTGCAACATCATTTACAATAGCCCAGTTATGGAAGTAACCTAAGTGTCCTTTGATAGATAAATAGATGAAGAAGACGTAGTCTCTACATCCACAATGGAATATTCCTTAGCCATAAGAAGAATGAAATCTTGCCATTTGTGACATGGATAGTTCTAGAGAGTGTTATGCTAAGTGAAGTAAGTTAGACGCAGAAAGACAAATACCATATTATTTCACTTACACGTGGACTAAAAAACAAAACAAATGAACAAACAAAACAGAAACAGACTCATAGATACCAAGAACAAACTAGTAACCACCAGAGGGAAGGAAGGTTGGCTAAATAGGTGAAGGGGATTTAAGAGAAACAAGTTATAAAATAAATAAATCACAGGGATGTAATGTACAGCATAGGGTATGTAGTCACTAATATTGTAATCCTTTGTTTGGTAACAGATGGTTACTACATTTATGGTGATGATCAATTCATATTGTGTGTAAATGTTGAACCACTATGTTGTATACCTGAAACTGATATAATATTATATGTCAATTGTATTTCAATTAAAAAATTTTTTTGAAGGAAAGGCATTTTGAACCTAAATTTTTATACAAAATTTCATACAAAGGCAAATAAATTATCACTGCAATGTGAAATTTTTTACATTAAAAGTTTTAATTAAAAAATCCATTTATCTTTTTCTGTCACCTCAAATATCACCTCTCCTAATGAAGCAGACTTAATCCTCACAACTAGGTGTGAGGGCATTCCCTTCTCATCCACCGATGCTCTTCTTTAGTGGAACTTAAACCCGACTAGGTATCCGGGGACCCATCTTACCCCACCGCACACTCCATGGGGGCAGGGACTGCCATAAGCATTTTTTGTCGCCCATAAGCATTCAGCAGACAATTGCTCCGCATAGCTCCATGGCTGAACAAGCGCGAGGCAGGCAGGGCTAGGAAAGCATCCTACTATTAATAGTTTTGCCTTTGGACAACCCGGAGCCATTACAGCCTCTAGGCAGGGTCAGCTGCCTAATTTGGTGGGCCCAGTGCAAAAATGAAAATACAAGACTCCTCGTTCACAAACTAATCAGAATTTCGAGATGGTAACAGCATTAAACCAGACGCAAGGCCCTCCTAGTGTAGAGCCCTGTGTGACTGCATAGACTGCATGACCATGAAGGTGACCCTGTCGTTAGGTTCAAAAGTGCTGGCACCAAATTGTCCCTTAGGAAGACAAATAATTCTGACTTCACCTTAAGAGACTCCCATTTTATCAGCTCAGGAACCTTGACTGGCTGGGGTTGGTGACTAGGGAGGAAGAGGGAAAGACACAGAGCTTCTAGGAAGTCCCATTTCAGCAAGTCTTACATCTTTTGTCTGGGTCAGACTATGACCTATGGCAGCCTGATAGTGACAGTGGCATCAGAAAAGGCAATTTGAGTTAGGATGGTAGGGAAGGCAGCCGGAAGATACTTGGGCACAGAGCTGCTAGTATAAGAGGAGGTCTGGTCTTTACCTGATGAAGCTACAACTGTCCTGATTCCTTTACTTAGGGCTCAGAGTTCTCCATCACGCCTAGCTCTTGGTCTTTTCTCTCTGGAGTTGGAGACCAACTGACACTGGCCTGTTGGTGCCCTGAGGGCTCCGGACTTCTGGAAGCTGGGAGTCCTTCCTCGCAACTCCTTCCTTCAAGTTGCTCTATCCTTGGGAGTATCCTGGATAGCAGTGCCATGTGAGGGACCCGTAAGAACGCCACTGGTGGGGCAAATGGGACGTGTCCTGGGGCAGCACCCAAAACTCCCAGAAGTCATGGTCCTCCAGTACTGTAAGCTAACTGGGGGGCGGGACAAAAGGCAAGGCTGTTAGCCTCAGTAGTGCTAATGGGAGGTAGTCATAAGACCAGGCTCTCTAGATGAGGAAATAAAACTTTCAGTTGCTTCTGCAGGCATCGTAGACACTATAGGAAGAGACAAATCATTTCCTGGGAGTGAGAGGAAGAAATGGCAGAAATCCAGTCTGACTCTGCAAACAAAAAAAAAAAAAATTTTTTTCTTAGATTTTTCTTTAAAATGGCTTCTAGAATATTTAAGTCAATTAACCCATCATCACCATTCCTACCTTGTGGTGATTCACATCCACAGTAACCAGAAACTCATTTTACCTACACAACAGTCATATTCCTGGATCCTTATCGTAGCCCCAAACATTTGACAAGGATCATTTAAGAGCTGCCAACCCAGCTGGTCCAGAGACAAAAAGTGCTTGTTAAAAGCACAAACTTAGCTCTCAGCATCTGTGTGCCCCTGGCCAATTTACCTGAGTTCTCTAAACCTTGGTTTCCTCATTTGAAAAAAGAGAATAACAGTGGTACTTACCACAAAGAGTTGCTTTGAGGATTGAGATACTGTAAGCAAAACTTTTAGTACACCCAAAACAAGTGTTCAGTCTGTGTTGGGCTCAACACCATCAGCACAGTATCATTACCACCATCATCATTGTAGCTACCATTTATCAAGGAGGGTGCCAAGCACCCTGCATTAGCAAGCTTTAAATCATCCTTAAGTCCTACAAAAGGGATTATTTATCCCCTAAAACTCAACTGTTAGCAGATCTGAAGCCCTGACCTCAGTGGCCTCACTGCAAAAGTGGATCCCAAGGAAGGATGATGAGGTTATAGAGATTTAAGCAGAAAAATGGAGGAATTTGTCAGGGCTCCCTTCCTCGCACGAGTCAGGATGGGATCTAAGTTCATGGCAGACTGGTAAAGAGGAAGAAATATTGGAATGCACCACTGTGTGAGGTTGGGCAAATCAGTTAATGTCCCCAAACCTTGATTTTCTTCCTCTGTAAATTGAGGATAAGGGAATAATTCTGTCTTGCCAACCTCACAGCATTGACCTGAGGATTACATGAGAGACAGTAGGTAAACGTGATGTGTGGAGGTATTGTTATTATACCTACAGAAAAAGTCCATGATCTGTCATTTGAACATCTACTCTGCTCTTTCCTTCTCTAATTCAAGCATTATTATACATAAGCCCTATTCTCATACCACATCCTGCTTTATTTGTAAATCAACATGTTGATAGGCATTCTGCCGCATATAATTAGACTTTTGCCAGTTTGCCTTGTCTGTGTCAGTTCCTTGCAGTCTGATCGGCTGGGAATTTTGAGAAGCCATTACTTGACCTAAAAGCAGAGGATAAGCTCTGAGATCTGGTGACTCCACACAATACCCTGGAAAGCTCTGCTTGACCTTGGCCACCACTGCTTCCTGCAGAAATACCTTCACTAAAGAGCCATTTATCATTCCCTCAGCTCTAACTGAAGACTAACATTAAAAATACCACTGGAAAGAAAGAGTGGCTGTAAGAGCTTGAGGATTGGGAATCAGAAACATCTGACTCAAACCCTTCACCACTGAAAGCTGTGGAACCTTCTGAATGTTAAACCTTATGCTCTTTGAGCCTCAGTTTTTTCTTTTCTAAACTTCACAATTATGACTGAAGTTAAATTATATATATACAAAGAGAGAGAGAGAGAGTGCTAGTGTCTATAGAGTACATTACCCCCCAAAAAAGAGTAAATTTTACCATCATTAATATTCATCAGAAAACATGCCAGTACCTTCAGCCATCATCTACTATGGTACAAAAAGTCCATAATAGCAAGTGACCACATGACAAACTGCTCTTAGAAATCAGAGGCAGTGAAAAGAATCACCCCTAAAAAATCACCTGTTTATTAGATGAGTAAATTTATCTTTAATTATTTAGGAGAAAATATCAAAATCTTCTCTGCCTACAAAATCCCAGAGCTTCTCATGGAGTCCAAATCCAAGCTGCTGCTGCTGCTGCTAAGTCACTTCAGTCGTGTCCGACTCTGTGCGACCCCATGGACGGCAGCCCACCAGGCTCCCCTGTCCCTGGGATTCTCCAGGCAAGAATACTGGAGTGGGTTGCCATTTCCTTCTCCAGCGCATGAAAGTGAAAAGTGAAAGTGAAGTCACTCAGTCGTGTCCGACTCTTAGCAACCTCATGGACTGCAGCCTACCAGGCTCCTCTGTCCATGGGATTTTCCAGGCAAGAGTACTGGAGTGGGCTGCCATTGCCTTCTCCGCAAATCCAAGCTGGACTTTGCTAAAGAATGGCCAGAAGAAGCAGCATCCCATGTCTGAGCTGTTCACCAAGGTTCAACTGAGAGAGAAGCTGTCTTTGTTCCCAGATTAGCTACATGAGTGCCAGTGTGTACAGAGATGTGCCAAGAGGTTGTTGTCATTGTTCAGTCGCTCAGTCACATCCCACTCTGCGACCCGATAAACTGCAGCATGCCAGGCTTCCCTGTCCTCACCATCTCCCGGGGCTTGCTCAAACTCATGTCCATTGAGTTGGTGATGCCATCCAACCACCTCATCTTCTGTTGTCCCCTTCTCCTCCTGCCTTCAGTCTTTCCCAGCATCAGGGTCTTTTCCAATGAGTCAGTTCTTTGCATCAGGTGGCCAAAGTATTGGAGCTTCAGCATCAATCCTTCCAATGAATATTCAGGACTGATTTCCTTTAGGATTAACTGGTTTAATTGCCTTGCCTTGAAAGTCCAAGGGACTTTCAAGAGTCTTCTCCAACACCACAGTTCTAAAGTATCAATTCTTCAGCACTCAGCCTTCTTTATAGTCAAACTCTCACATCTATACATGACTACTGGGAAAACATAGCTTTGACTAGACTGACCTTTGTCGGCAAAGTTAATGACTCTGCTTTTTAATACACTGTCTAGGTTGGTCATAGCTTTTCTCCCAAGGAGCAAGCATCTTTTAATTTCACGGCTGCAGTCACCATCTGCAGTGATTTTGGAGCCCAAGAAAACAATGTCTGTCATTGTTTCCATTGTTTCCCCATCTATTTGCCATGAAGTGATGGGACCGGATGCCATGATCTTAGTTTTCTGAATGTTGAGTTTAAGCCAGCTTTTTCACTCTCCTCTTTCACCTTCATCAAGAGGCTCTTTAGTTCCTCTTAACTTTCTGCCATAAGAGTGGTGTCATCTGCATATCTGAGGCTATTGATATTTTCCCTGGCAAACTTGATTCCAACTTGTGCTTTATCCAGCCCAGCATTTTGCATAATGTACTTTGCATATAAGTTAATAAGCAGAGTGACAATATACAACCTAGACATACTCCTTTCTCAATTTTGAACCAGTCCACTATTCCATGTCCGATTCTAACTGTTGCTTCTTGACCTGCATACAGGTTTCTCAGGAGGCAGGTAAGGTGGCATTCCCATCTCTTTAAGAATTTCCCACAGTTTGTTGTGATCCACACAAAAACTATAGCATAGTCAATGAAGCAGAAGTAGATGAAGAAGTAGCCAAGAGCTTAGGGGATGAAGAAACCAACAGAACCAGCCCTCATCTTGAGGAGTGCCCTGTCTGGGGTTGGAGTAGGAGGATGAAGACCCTGCCTTCAGGGAAACCCCAGTGTGATGGTGCAGACATAGTCTATGTCCTTTGGAAGTCCTTGACTGGGGAGACAAAAAAGTCCAAAACAGGATGCATGTTATTTTTTCTGCTAAGAGGTCCAGAGTCAAATTCAATGGTCATTTTAGGAAGCACTTAATCATACCCTTTCAATATAATTATCTTCTCCCTTTCTCGGTGTGGCTTCTGATCATTATAACTTTAACACTCATATTGCATATAAGGTTTCATGCCCCAGGCTTCCTGGTGGTTCAGTTGGTAAAGAATCTGACTGCAATGCAAGGAGACCCATGTTTGATCCCTGGGTCAGGAAGATCCCCCTGGAGAAGTAAATGGCAACCCACTCTAATATTCTTGCCTAGGAAATCCCATGGACAGAGGGGCCTTGCAGGCTACAGTCCATGGGGTCACAGTGAGTCAGATACAACTTAGCGACTAAACCCCCACCACCACACATCATCCACCTCACTTTAAAAAATATTTATTTATTTACTTGGCTGCATCAGGTCTTAGTTGTGGCACACAGATGCAGCTGCTCCAAGGCATATGGGATCTTAGTCTCCCTATCAGGGGTTGAACCCATGTCCCCTGCATCACAAGATGGACTCTTAGCCACTGGACCACCAGGGATTACCAGGGAAGTCCCCTATCCTTCCCTTTAAAAATAGGAACATAAATAACTGAAAATTCTAGAAAATTATGAACCAGAGACTGTGGGGGTGGGTTTGAGCCCCATCAGGACTGAGGAGTTTTGTTCCTATAACAGGTCCACAGGTCAGGGTGGCCATCACAGGTTCCTCTGCCCAGGCCTGGGTCTACATGTAGGGTAGTCTTCATTTCCACACTAGAGAGATGTCTTCAAAAGGCAAATTCCCAGTGGCCTGTCCCAAATCTCGTGTCAGGATTTCCAGAGGTATGGCCTTGGAAACTACAGGCTTAACAAGGGTCCCCATACAATTCATATCATCAGGGAAGTTTGGGAAACACTAAGCCAATTTTTTCCTTTGAGGGTGGTGAGAGGACCATCAGAATACCTAGTGGAGCTTCTTAAAATGCAGATTCCTGAACCCCTCAGTAGGACCTACTGATTGAGAATTTCCAGGAGCAGGCCTTGGAATATGCATTTTTATGAGCACCCAAAGTGATGTGTATGGGTAGATAATCACTCGTCAGCCCTTCTGCAGAGTGAACTACAGGTCACAAGGGGGCCAGGTCAGACTGTCCGGTCAGTCTGTTTTAGGTGGCAGAAGTGAATGAGATGATTAAAGTGTATCTCCTTCTATAGGCAGTCAAGCAGTATAAATCCCTAAACCATCAGTTCAGTTCAGTTCAGTTCACTCAGTTGTGTCTGACTCTTTGCGACCCCATGAACTGCAGCACCAGGCCTCCTTGTCCATTGCCAGCTCCCAGAGTTTACTCAAACTTATGGCCATTGAGTTGGTGATGCCATCCAACCATCTCATCCTCTGTTGTCCCCTTCTCCTCCTGCCTTCAATCTTTCCCAGCATCAGGGTCTTTTCCAAATCACCATCTGCAGTGATTTTGGAGCCCAAGAAAATAAAGTCTGTCACTGTTCCCACTGTTTCCCCATCTATTTGCCATGAAGTGATGGGACCAGATGCCATGGTCTTAGTTTTCTGAGTGTTGAGTTTAAGCCAACTTTTTCACTCTCCTCTCTTCTTTCACTTTCATCAAGAGGCTCTTTAGTTGTTCTCTTTCTACCATAAGGGTGGTGTCATCTGCATATCTGAGGTTATTGATATTTCTCCCAGCAATCTTGATTCCAGCTTGTGCTTCATCCAGACCAGCGATCTCAAGATGTACTCTGTATATAAGTTAAATAAGCAGTGGTAACAATATACAGCCTTGACATACTCTTTTCCCTATTTGGAACCAGTCTGTTGTTCCACGTCCAGTTCTAACCCTCCACCATAGGCAATGCTATCTTGTAGAGCTCTAAATTTTTACATATCACCTTCCTTCAGAAGCACTAATGCTCTGACAAGGGCTCCCTTGCCATGCTTAGGGGTCTTTGAATTTTCCTGGTTGTCCAGTAGTTAAGAATCTGCCTGCCAATAGAGGGGACACAGGTTCAATCCCTGGTGCAGGACAAGATTCCACATGTACGTGCGCTGTATCACAACTATTTAGCCTGCGGTCTAGAGTCCATGTGCGGCAACTACTGGAGTCCCTGCGCCTAGAGCTGGTGCTCCACAAGAGAAACTACCACAATGAGAAGCCTTCACGCTGCAAAGAAAAGTAGCCCCTGCTCACTGCAACTAGAGGAAGCCTGTGCACGGTAATGGAAACCCAGTAGAGCCATAAATAAATAAGTAAAAGCTTAAGGATTTTGTTTCCAGATCTGCTCAGGCACCAGTGTCCTGTTGTTCTGTCCCCTTAGTACACGCCTTACAGGGCCAGCTCTCAGGTCAAGTGCCCTGGACCTAAGTAGGCTAGGCTGGCAGAGGACAAAAGGTATGGAGATCAACCTTTTCATGGTTAACATGGTTCTACTTCCAGGGCCGGCATTAGTGACTGTCTCAATTTCAGCCAGAAGTGGAAAACAAGACAAAGTGTACTTAAAGCAGCGGGGCCAGATCAGTCATAGTAGAAACATATCAATACATTGCAAGGGGGTCACATTTTGACTGTGGTGAGTCTTTTCTTAAAACGTATTTATTTTGGACTATGCCAGGTTTTCGTTGCTGTGTGCAGGCTTTCTTTAGTTGTGGCAAGCAGTGGCTACTCTTCATTTCAGTATGCAGGCTTCTCATTGTGGTGGGTTCTCTTCTTGCAGAACACAGGCTGTAGGCATGGGGCTTCAGTAGTTGTGGTGGACGGGCTTAGTTGCCCCTCAGCATGTGGATCTTCCCGGACCAGGGACTGAACCCATGTCTCCTGCATTGGTAGGCGGATTCTTTACTACTGAGCCAGCAGGGAAGCCGTGAAGTGAGTCTTAACTGTCTACTTACCTGCATGATTTTATGAATCTATCTGCCCACCTACCTACCCAACATTCCAGAAATACATGTAGAGTGCCTGCCAATGCTCTAGACACATGAAGGGAATATAAGTGGGCCTACCTAGTTCCTCTCACATCCTCTTTGACCAGAGATCAGGCAGTGACTGTATGCTTCCTGATCTTGCATACACAGGTCTTTCAAAGCACCTGTATGGCTTCTGCCAGGCCTTGGGTCCAGTCGGGCTGGAGTGGCAACCACCAGCAGGTCTTTCAGGGAAACATCAAGGCCGTGAGAATTCTGTAAGAAGAGGAAGGAGGGCACATCCAGCTGCCTCTTCTCGCCAGAGCTTCGGCTGCAAAAGTAGGACTCCCGGGGCAGGGAGGGGTTTTCTGGAAAGGCAAAGTCATTGGCATCATCAATCTGTGCTGCTGGACTCAGCAGAAATTCTTGGTGAAAGACACCTCCCACTAGGGTCTCCTGCTTAAAACTGGCTGAAGCTCCTTAATTAGAATCAGCCACTGCGCCATTCTTCTAAACAATTTCTCTTCCTTTTTTTTTTCCCCAGACTTAACACCCCAAACTTGTACAGGCTCAGCTGAATGGGCTTCATCTGAATAAGAACCAGAAAAGATTGAAAAGGGTACTTAGACATAGCTTTCTATTTTTATCACTTTTTTTTTTTTTTTTTGCTTTCCCCTTAAGGCTAGAGACTCCTTAAGTACAAAGACTAGGTCTCCACTATCAGACTGGGATCTCCCTGAAGGCAGGGGCTTCAGCTCCCCTCAGATGGGGCACTCCCCAAGATTAGGCTGGTTCTGTTGGTTTCTTCATTCCCTATGCTCTTGGCACATCTTCAAACACACTGGCACTCACGTGACTGGTCACTCAGCACCAGCTTTGGGTTGTAGTGAGCTGGGAACAAAGACAGCTTCTCTCTCAGTTGAACCTTGGTGAACAGCTCTGACATGGGATGCTGCTTCTTCCGGCCATTCTTTAGCAAAGTCCAGCTTGGGTTCGGACTCCACGAGAAGCTCTGGGATTTTGTAGGCAGAAAACTGTTTGATACTTTTTCTGGGATGAGGTGCCAAGGCACCTGCTGTGGCTTGCATTTAAAGGAGGCCACCCTGTCCATCTTTGGGCTGCTACACTCAGAGCTGGCTGTCACAGTCACATTCAGCAGACGTTCAGGGGTGTCTGAGACCAGGGTGGTAGATTCTGGGAAGGCTTCTACTGAAGTTAGAGGCTGGAAGAGAAAATGGTCCAAAATGAGATTATGAAAAGCCAAGGGCTCCTTCCTAGGCTCCTTTTAATTAAAACAAATAGATGAAGAGCTGAATTCATGAGCAATAAGATTTTGGTCAGAACAGTTTCTAACCATGAATTGGTTAAACGCTAAGGCAGAAGATGGTGGCGAATATCCACAGAGCTTCCTCTGGAGTTCTTTAAATGTGAGAGAGACTTTAAACACTAGAGACTGGTAATCAGAGAAATAGGTATTATTTTACAACTATTAAACTGGCAAAAAATAGAAAGCTGGAGATCAGTGTTGGTGGAATGCAAGGGAGCTACAGGGATGCTCATGCACTGCTGATGAGAATGTAGGTTGGTCCAGACACTCTGGTGAACCATCTAGAAAGATAAGTAAGATAAGATTACAATCCGCACACTGCAATGAAGAGTAGCCCTTGCTCACCACTACAGAAAGCCTGCATGCAGCAACAAAGACCCAGTGCAGTCAAAAATTAATAAATAAGATTACAAATACCTTGTGACCCAGCAATTCAGCTCCTAGCTATAGATGCTAAATAAGTTATAAGATCACTCCTTTTAAAAAAGTATGTACACCAATGTTCCCAGCAACATTATTCACAATAGGCAAAAGGTGGATACAGCCCAAATGTCCACCAACAAATGAATGGATAAACAAAATGTGGTATAGGTACAGTGGAATATTATTACCATCCTCAAAAGGAAGGAAATTCTGATACATGCTACAACATAAATGAACTCTGAACAGGTTATGCAAAGTGAAATAAAGTTAAGGTGTTATTTGCTCAGTCATGTCTGACTCTTTGTGACCCCATGGACAATAGCCCACCAGGCTCCTCTGTCCATGGGATTCTCCAGACAAGAATACTAGAGTGGATTCATCAAGGTATTGCTGGGCTGTAAAATAAGACAATAAATTTTAAGACACTGAAATTTTATCAAAACATTGTACAAACCAAAAAGGAATCAAATTAGAAACTAATAGCTATAAGCCACAGGACTGGAAAAGGTTGGTTTTCATTCCAATCCCAAAGAAAAACAATGCCAAAGAATGTTCAAACTACCACATAATTGCACACATCTCACATGCTAGCAAAGTAATGCTCAAAATTCTCCAAACCAGGCTTTAACAATATGTGAGCAGTGAACTTCCAGATGTTCAAGCTGGATTTAGAAAAGGTAGAAGAACCAGAAATCAAATTGCAAACATCCTTTGGATCATAGAAAAAGCAAGAGAATTCCAGAAAAACATCTACTTCTGCTTTATTGACTATGCCAAAGCCTTTGACTGTGTGGAGAGATGGGAATACCAGACTACCTGATCTGCCTCCTGAGAAATCTGTATGCAAGTCAAGAAGCAACAGTTAGAATTGGACATGGAACAATGGACTGGTTCCAAATNTCAATCCTACAGGAAATCAGTCTGAATATTCATTGGAAGGACTGATACTGAAGCTGAAACTCCAATACTTTGGCCACCTGATGCAAAGAACTGATGCAAAGACCCTGATGCTGGGAAAGACTGAAGGCAGGAGTGGGAGAAGGGGACGATAGAGGATAAGATGGTAAAGATGGAATCACTGACTCAATGGACATGAGTTTGAGCAAACTCCAGGAGTAGGTTATGGACAGGGAAGCCTGGCATGCTGCAGTCCATGGGGGTCGCAGAGTCGGACATGACTAAGCGACTGAACTTACTGAATAGCAATAAGATATCTAGAAAACTCTTAAATATTAGAAAATTATACAATATACTTCTAGATCACCCATGGAACAAAAATGAAATCACAAGGGAATCAGAAAAATATTCCAAACAATGATAAAAATGCAACATATCAAAATTTATGATATGAAGATAATCTGGTATTTACAGGGAAATTTATAGTGCTAAACACATATTAGATAGGAAGAAAGGCTTACAGTAAATAATCTAACTTTTCACTTTAAGAAATTAGAAAATAGTGATTGAATTAAACTAAAAGCTAATAGAAAAAAGGGAAATAATAAAGATAGCACTGGGGAAAAAAGGAAATAATAGAGAAAACACTGGTGGCTCAGTGGTAAAGAATCCTCCTGTCAAGCAGGAGATGCAGGTTTAATCCCTGGATCAGAAAGATCCCCAGGAGAAGGATATGGCAACCTACTCCAATTTTTTGCCTGAGAAATCCCATGGACAGAGGAGCCTGGTGAGTTACAGTCTATGGAGTCACAAAAGAGTCAGACACGACTTAGCAATGAAACAACCAACAACAACACTGGAAAGCAATAGTAACAGAAAATAAACTGTAGAGAAAATTAACAAAGCCTAAAATTGGTTCTTTAATTAATAAAATGGATAAGCTCATACTAAGATCAAAATAAAGATAAAATACAAATGCTTTTATCATCCATGAAAAAGGAGACATCTTGATGTATCATGAAGACATCAAAGGGATAAGAACATTTAAAACAAGTAGAAGGGACAGTAGTTTGGTTCTGATTCTAGCTAAGATGAATTAAGCATATTGCATCTATCTTTCCCATAGGCTATTCCTACAAAACCTGCACAGAATGCATGCATAGAATAGTTATCTGACAATTCTGAAAAGTAAACAGTAGCAAGCAGATGGAGGAAGATTTGAGGAAGATGAGAATTCAAAGCACCAGCAAGTCATCAGTGCTGTGCTTAATCGCTCAGTCGTGTCCAATCTTTGAGACCACATGGACTGCAGCCCGCCAGCCTCCTCTGTCCATGGGGATTCTCCAGGCAAGAATACTGGAGTGGGTGGCCATGCCCATGCCCTCTTTCATGGGATCTTCCCAATCCAGAGATCAAACCCAGGTCTCCCACATTGCAGGTGGATTCTTTACCATCTGAGCCACCAGGGAAGTTTACTGTTTTTTCCTTCAGTATGCCCTGACCTGAACTCAAGGCAACTCAAAATTCAAAAGTGGGTATGGGGGAATATTCACTAGTTTGTTGTCTTTTTTTAGATTCTACATATAAGTGATGTCATACAGTATTTGTCTTTCTCTGTCTGACTTCTTTCATTCAGCATAACGTCCATCAAGTCCATCCATGTTGCTGCAAGTGGCAAAATTTTGTCCTATTTATGGCTAAGTAACATTCCTTAGCCAGCTAAGTAATTCCTTAGACAGAGAAAGCTCTAAGAGAACCTTCTAGTTGTAGCTCTTCTTTTCTTTTCTCTACTCTCTTTGCCCCCATGTCCATGATGAAAATCGTGAGGTGGATTTCAGTAATGAATAGAATTCAGTGATTAATAGAATGAGTATACAGAAATTTAATAAGAATACAGAAGAACTGAACAACATCAGCAACCAAATAAATCTAACTGACCCACTGCCCAACAGCAGCAAAATATTCTTTTAAAGTGCACATGAAACATTCTCGAAAAGAAACCATGTTCTGGGTTATAACATAAACTTTAATAAATTTTAAAGAGCTGAAATAATATAAAGTGTGTTCTCTGATGATATGGAATTAAATTAGAAATCAATAACAGGAAAATCCCCAAACAACTGAAAGTTAACACATTTCTCAATTGCCAAGACATGAAAGCAACTTAAGTGCCCAGCAATAGAAAAATAGATAAAGATGTGGTATAACCACACACACATACACACACACAGACATACACAAACACACACACAAAAGAATGTTACTTAGCCATAATAAGGACCAAATTTTGCCATCTGCAGCAACATGGATGGACTTGGAGGACATTATGCTAAATGAAATAAGTCAGACAGAGAAAGACAAATACTGTATGATATCTCTTACGTGTAGAATCTAAAAAATACAACAAACTAGCAAATATAAAAGTAGAGAAGCAGACTCACATATAGAGAATAAACTAGTGGTTGACAGTAGGGAGAGGGAAGTGGGGAGGGGTAATATAGGGATAGGGGAGTCAGAGGTACAAACTATTAGGTACAAAATAAACTTCAAGGATATATTGTACAACATGGGGAATTGAGACAATATTTTATAATAACAATAAATGGAGTGTAACCTTTAAAAATTGTGAATCACTATATTGTATATCTATAATTTATATAATATTACACAGCAAATATAGTTCAATAAAAAAACACAAAAATAAATAAAATTTTAAAAATTAAAAAAAATCCACATTTCTAAATAACCCAAGGGTCATAAAGACAATCTCAAGTGAAATTAGAAAACATTTTGGACTAAACGAAAATGAAAATAGATCAAAATTCGTGGTATCTAGTTAAAAGTTGTTCTTAGAAAGAAATTTATAGCATGAAGTGTGTATATTAGGAAAGAAGGTCTTATTTAACATCCTAAACTTCTCCCTTAAGAAATTAAAAAAACAAAAATAATCCAAAGCAAACAGAACCTAAGCATTGGTGACAAAAATCAATGAAATAAAAAATCAGAAAATAATAGGAAATTGGAAATAATAATAGAAAATAATTGGAAAATAATAGAAAATAAAAAATCCATAGGAACAAAATTCAGCTCTTTGAAAAGAATAAATTGATAAACTCTTAGTGACACTTACCAAGAAAAAAAAGTGAAAGAATAAAAAATTACATTATCAGGAATGAAAGAATGTATCACTACAAACTCTGCAGACATTAAAAGGATAATAGGGAACTACTATAAACAACTCTTCACATATAAATCCAACAACTTAGATAAAATTGACCAATATCTTAAAAACCACAAACCACCAAAACTCACTCAAAATAAAATACATAACTATTAAAGAAATTTAATTATATTTTGGTGGTTTAGTTGCTAGGTTGTGTCCGACTCTTGCGATACCTGTAGCCTGTCAGGCTCCTCTGTCCATGGGATTCTCCAGGCAAAAATACTGGAGTGGGTTGCCATTTCCTTCTCTAGGGGATCTTCCTGACCCAGAAATCGAACCCCGGTCTCCTGCATTGCAGGCAGATGATTTACCAACCGAACTATGAGGGAAATATTCCAAAAAAGAAATCACC